CCATTGTCCCTATATGACCCCAATGCCCAGGCCCATAATGTGTTCCTTGGCACCTGGGGTCCAGGCTGCTTTGGATCCACCGGCCATTGCTGAGTATGGGGTTTTGGGTTCCAGGTTTCGGGTTTCGGGTTTGGGTTTAGGGTTTTGGGTTTAGGGTTTGGGTTTAGGGTTCGGGAAAACGTAAAGAGATGTGGGTGTTTGCTGGGATAGGCATGTATGCACAGACCCGCAAAAAAAAAACAACAACACCCTATATAATGTGTTTGAACGCAAAATTCAAGCACCAAGACCCCATGAACATCTGATGCTTAGCGGGCGTGTGAGATCTTATCATCTTTGGCGCCACCTTCAGACGTCTTGTGCAAATATGCGCAACCCAGTTTCCATTTCAATTTCCATGTTTTTTCCCATTTGATTCTCCACTGCTAGGGTAATGTCCCTGTATGAGCCATAGTCTTAACTCCTGGCATGCCCTACATAATCCTCTATAATACTATAGTCCCCTATATAACCCCCTTTAAGTTGTTTAGACTATAGTTCCTATGACCCCTGTATAACCCCTAATAGAGGCACGAAACTTCCAGCGAGCCCCATGGACAGCGGTCATGAGGGGCGCTTTTCAGCGTGTCAGAGGTCCCAAAGAAGATGGACTCTGGAAGTACTGTTACTCTTATTATCACTACTGTTGTAACTGATATTATCAATAAATACCAATAAATACTATGAGTATTACCATTGCGATTATCCTATGTGATCATGCTTTGGACCATAGCTACCCTGGCCTGTAACCTCAGGCTCAAGCCCCACCCTTCAGGTGGAGTGCATGATGTTTTGGGAGAACCTTCCAAATCTTAACATTAAAAACCTTGGCAGCAGCAATACTCTGCACTTCTGCGGGCTTTGTGGCAGCAACAGCGATTGGTGCACAGTAGAAGCGTTGTTGCAGGGAACTTCAAGGTGGGTATAACTGTATGAACATGTTTTCCAATGCAAGCTCCAGGCCCAAGGACCAAGTTGCTCCAAAAGCTACAACTTCATGAGAAGAAACCTAGGCCAGGACTTCGACACTTTACCAAACTAAAACAGAAGCCCCAAACGGATAATGCAAAGAGTCCCAGTCAACCGCAGGGCGTATGGCGTTCGGATCTTATTTTGGGGAGTCTAAGTGTAAGCGTAAGTGTAAGTAGGATCCACCTCTACGTTTGAGTCGAAGGATGCATGGCAGGCTAAACTTTCGCCTAACCCTCAAATGCCGTGTATCTGTACCGGACAAAAAGCACATGGTTGACTAAGAATTTTGCGAATTTCAAGAAACAACACACATACTCCTGTCTGGCAAAAACCACTCGTATCTTCTGACCTATTACTGTAACTCCTGCGTCAGCCTACACCTGCACGCGGGATCTTGGGGAAAGGAGGGGTATTGAGACTGAGTTCCACAGATAGAAACACATGTAAAAGAACTGCAACATGATTCTGAATGTCACAATGACCCTCAACAAAGTCCCAGAAACTCCAAAGCCAGCAAAACAAAAAAAAACAAAGGAATCCTGAAGACTCACTGCCTACTAAAAATGGTAGTTTCCCGAAATAGGGGCACCCCAATATAGACCCCAAAATATTATAATCCTTTCTGTCGGGACCCCTATTAAAAGGTACCCTTCATTTTGGGAAACCCCAAGATGCCCTTTTGCCGCGTACTTTGCCAAGCAATCGAGTCTAAGCTCAGCAACAGCTGATGTCAAGGCGAACGGTGCCTAAATGCCTGTGCTGAGGATTCTGAAGGCAAGGGTCTGACACCCGAAAAGTGGATGGATCATTTCCCCCTGTGTCAGGCCTACAGGGCACTTTGGTCCACTGCAGCCTTGCTGAGGCGCGGAACCCCGAACAGCATAGACTCGGAGGCGGATTTGAACTGAAATAGCCCTGAACAGTCTATCCTGAACCTCAAACTCTGTCCCCACAAGTCCAACCAATATGCAAAGCAGGCCTAATTCCCCTTGATTGCCCCTCAATTCCACAGGACACATTGCGCAGTACACAGTTTGAAGGATGATTGCTTAGGGCTTGCTTGGGAAGTACGGGTAAGATCTGTCGCAGAGAAATCGCTGTGGACGTACCAGAAGTTCCCGCAATCCCTATTACTTGGATCAAGACGGGAGCGAGGATGCTGGGGAGCTCTCCATGAGAAGTGGTGAAAGTTCAGGGCTTCTCTTCGTCAGACGGAATGAAAACCCTTACCGATTGCTCTTGAGCATGCTCCGCAAGTCATAAGCTTTCGGAAGAAGACACTAACATGACAGTTATAACATAGCCTGGGGTTCGGAGATGCTCTATGCGGTCTTTGGTCGCAACTCCTCATGGGCAACATGCACACCAACCTCCACCCGAATTTGACCAACTGCCTGTCATGGGGTGTACAACAGATTTGAGGATTGCAGTTTGTGCAAACTGCCGCAACCCGCTATACATAAACTTGAGGCCATATTATCATCAGGAGATTGAACACTAGTACCCTAAACCCTAAACCCTAATTCCCTCCAAGGCCTGGCACATAGCTGTAGCTGGACGGAGCACACTTTTTACATCTGATGGCTGCGTCAACCGTGAGCATTATACAAGTACACGTGCCGCATCAAGAGGCACGGAGAAAAGCGAAGCCCAGCTCCATCACGATGAGAACTGGCACTGCAAAGAGGATCACCTCTTCGGAGCAGAAGAAGGGCTCAAAGAACAGGAGCTGCATACTCAACCTTGCGGATTCGCACCACCACCCCCCCCCCGGCTGGCCACGAAAGAGGTTGGCTACCAAAAGGAGCACAGTGAGCACGTCGAGGGGTCGGGTGGGCTGGGTGACCTCGGTTGTAGGTGTAGGCGGTGGTGAAGGGCTATCAGGCTTATCTCCCATCTGTAATGGCGGTCCTGACAGCACCGAAGGCAGGAAGGAGCCATACCCCAGTGGTTGAGGCGAAGGCTGCAAGTAAGAGCTCAACACGTCCACCAGGGCATCTTCTACCTCATGTACTGTCATGGCGAGCTGATGAAGGAGCTCTTTGCCAAAGTAGATGATCAATGCCACCACGCCCTTGACCACGTAGCGGCAAGCCAGCACAACACACAACGCCACTGCCTTCGGGAAGAGGAGCACAACCATCACGGCCAGCCAAGTCCATCTCCAGGCCCGAACAGCGCGCCAGAATCCCTCCAGGGGGGTCATCTGGGAGGTGCATGAGGTCCACCCTGCAAGGGCTGAGCACGCACAGGGACCAGTCTTCTTGCCTGAGCCGCCGCGTTGTTCGAGCCCGCAGCCCAAGTCTGCAAGGAGGTAGTCAAACGGGCCAAGGCTGCAGTGATGCGACGCGCAGCGCTGCCACTGCGCCACAGCAGCTTCCCGTGTTGACGGCTCTTGGAGCACCTCCGCGCGGTTCAGATCGCCCTCCACACGAACATCACCCAGGGTGTTCGCAGCCTCCACAGCCGCCTGTAGCAAAGAAGCTGCGGCTGAACCCTCCACCTCTGTCACAGCGGGAGGGTCGGCAGGTCTCCGGCTCGGTGTTGCCGCCAAAGCTCTTCTGCTTCGGCTTTCGAGCTGACCCTTCTTAGCCGTACCGCTGACCCTGAGAGTTGGCCTCCTGGGAGCCGTGCTTCCAGACGGGGCCGCGTTGTCTTGGCCGGCCCCGACGTCCATCCCTCGAAAGATGGATCTCTAGGATTAGCCAGGACCACGTAGTGCCTTGTGTCAGCGTGGTAGGTAACTGAGCTACCTGAAGTGTCCAAGCCAAGGCCTCCCACACGGGTTGCCGCGCTGTTTCTTTCAGGAGTTGGAGTCGCCGTGCACGAAGTAGACCCACTACCCAAGCTCACAGAACCTGCGGCCTCCGCACGAGCCTTGGCCGTGGAGGACTGTCCCTTACCACGCCCCCGTGCAGTCGACGAGTGGGAAGAAGTAGAAGACGAAGCCACCAAGCTTGGACGGTCCGCTCGAGGAGACGTCACAACGTTTCAAGTGGTCTCTTCCAAAGCCTCAGAAAGCTCCTTCACGGCACGGCGGAGGCGCTCGGACATCCTCACACTTCCGCAAGTTGGCTGAGCGACAAGGGCGGCGGCAAACGCAAGTAGTGAACATGCTGGTGCACAAGAGACAGCTGCTGCTGCGCCAACACTGAAGCTGAAGCAAGAACTTGGGTCGACAAAGCCTCTTGCAAGTAGGACTTCACCGTCTCTTGTCGTGCCCACCTGCCGTGATATTGCAACCTAGCAATGTTCTCTGTCACTCGGAAGAAGTGAGTGGCACCTCCACCCCTCAGTGATCCCAAGGTGAATTTCTTTTCCCCGAGGTCCAGTTCCTCGAGAGCTTCCGCCACCAGCTTCGCCCAGTCCCTCCGGCCCACACGCAGGAACAGTCGATTGGGGGCACGGCCACGACAAAACCATTCTAACCAGGAAATCAGGCTCGGGTCCTTTATCAAAACAAATTGTGTTCTCCACACCCGGCGAGTTTTAGGTTTCCTTATCGCCACGACCAAGCCCGAATTGGCCTCGGCAGACCAACCCGGGTCCGGAAAGGTGAGGCCCCCGATCATCAGGTTGCAAACTTCGCCCGGACGTAAAAGTGCTTCAAAAGCAAGCCAACAGCCCATCATCGAAGACCACCACCGAAGACGATCTCGCCCCAACTCCGACCCGAAAGTTGTAGCACCCGCTGAAGTCCCAGAACTCCCAGCCGAACTTTGTAAAGCCGTTCTCCCTGTTGATAGCAATGCTCCACTGCACGTTCCAGCCATCCATCAATCACCCTCGACGATGAACGCTTTGTGAAAGTCGCCCCGAGGAACCTGGCCACCCCCAACAACCAAACTGCCGCCTCCCTCAGCCCTTTACGATACTCAGCAGTAAGCGCAGCTTGATGAAGCGACACCCTACGCCGACCACTTCGCAAAGGCATCAGCCAAGACGTCGCAGAACTCAAGAGGATATGCACCCGCCAAGCGAGCTCTTTCACCCCTCAACGGAGGACCATGGGCATGATTTTTGGGGCAGAGACGAGGGACATCTTTGAACCACGGAGCATTGGTCACCACCCGAGTCGGCTTTTGATTAGGCAGCCCCACGCGCGACATGTCCGAAAATGCACACCACTCCAAACGGTAGGACTTCAAACTCTCATGCTTCAAGATCACTTCTGAATCCCTCATCCGCCAAGCTGAGGAGTGCCAAGGATGTTCCAAGAAGACATACGTCCCCGCCTTCAGCGCAAGCTCCACCAGTTGCAGCGCCCGCCTCCACAAGCGGTTCCCGTGTCTCACTTCATGGCTGGACTCCCGCCCCTCGGGTAGCCCCTTTGGCCTCAACGGGCCACCATGATCCAAGTTCCTCAACGGGCTGAATGATTTGCATGGAGGAGCTAACCAAATCCAGAACAACTCACCATTCATGAGGGCCTGGTCGATGATCTCATCAAAGGCATCACCGCCATAGAGAATGTCAATGGGAGGCCGCATCTCGAAACCCCTCCTTACATGCGCTGAAGTCACCCTCGCTGTTCCGGCAAAAATTTCCAAACCAACCCTGCGACGCATAAGCCCAGGACAAAGCTTCTGCAACCATGCCGGCGACGTTTTTGGGGAAGGCAACAGCGAGAACCTTGAAGGGTGATCAGCAAGGTTAGAGCCGGTCTCAATCCAAATGATGCCAAGGGCGAGGCGACCAAAGATCAGATGTGGCAGCATACCTCGGAGAATACCATTGAGCCGATAGGATGAGGAACGACCTTTAGCAAATGCCCCTGTTACAACAAAGCTGTCATTGAGGAAGATGCAAGCATGCCCTTGATGGAAACGATCAGCAGCCATGCGAATGACCTCCTTCCGCAACGCTCTGGCCTCTTGTAAGTTGATGTGGGACGTCTCACGGAACATGTAGCTACTCTCAACATGCCAGTGTAAGCGTTCCGCCACCGTACTTGCAAACAATGATGCCTCGCGCGGAGCTTCGGCCTGGAGTTCCAACATGACTGAACGATCCAATCTAGTGGCTTCCTCCCTCACCTCCGTATGCCGCCACAAAGCGGAAGCAAGCTCTTCACTGACTTCAGCAGATACGCAGCCACCTGACGTTGGGGTTGCGTCCGTGGCCGTCACAACCCTATTCAACTTCCTACGCATGTTCCACACTGCGAATGGTAAGTGTAGAGCACAAGCACGAAGTTCGTCAAGGATGTGACCAGGTAATCGATGCCATTTCTTTGGCTTCATCCTGGCAAGGAACTTGTACAGGTGATGTTTTAAGGAATACAATTCACGTCGATATTGAAAGGCATATGATAAGTATCCCACCACCTTCCTGAGGAGATCACGAGAAGCCCATCCACCTGCAACCAGCTTTTGCAACAGATGCCATAGCTGCTGACGTACTTGTAGCGGGCTCCCCGCCTTCCCTTGAATGCCGTCGATCTCGGCTCCCCATGCCTTGAACAAAGTTCGAAGCCTAAACGCTTTGTGCTCAGCCCGTTGCAGTTGTGCCTCCTGATAGGCCATCTCCGCAGCCTTGATCTCGAGGACGTCGGCATCGTCGACCTGGGCAGGCGGGGGCACAAAGGAACCATCAAGGGGGATCACCTCATCAACAGAGCACCGCTTGGCCACTAGCAAATCGTCCAAGTAGACACCCTCGAGGAGCTCTCCCTCAGGCAGATGTTCTCCATATTGCAGGGTATTGATGGGAAGCAAGACGCCATGCCTTCGCAGCAACCCTTCATGAACCGCCTGAGCAATATCACACCCATTCTTGTCCCCCATCCCCAGAACTGCAAAGCAAGCTCGGTGTGGCACAGAAGCATCCAAACCATAATCACGGAGAACCTTTGGGGAAACCCTTCTTCCAGCAGCATTGTACTTAACCCAGTTCCGTGGAAGACGTAGCATATAGTAATAGTTCCTGAGGTCGTCACCCGAAGCACGCAAATACTCCTTCTCGCCCAGCAAAAGTTTGGCGAAGCAAGCACCTGCCGGTAGTTTTGCCCAACGGAGACGATGCATCGTGGCATTCTCAGGCCTTCTGTCAAAAATTAGTCGATCCTCCTGCTCATTCTTGAGCACAGCGAACAGACCTCCAATCAATAATCTTCCACTGGCACTCTGCGGCAACTCTGACTCAGGAACAAGCTCAACCATCTTGGTCTCCAAAAGTCGGCGAACCACCTTGTCCTCCTCATCGGGAGGGACCTGATGAAAAGCATGCACAATCTCCTCCCACTCGCACTCAGGTTTTCTGAGCTTCTCCAGGTTTCCAACCACCTCAGCGCGGCCCGGCTCCAGCCAAAGACACGGATCCACCGTGCCAGCCACCTTCGGCACTGCAATGCGCTCAGCTCTCACGGGAAGAGTGGGTACCCCAGCCTCCCCCAAGCCCGGCCCACGAAAATCAGAATAACATGCACCAGCTGTACACTCCACCTTGGACAAAAGCTCATCGATGACGCCCCGCTTACCCTCGCAAGCCAAGGATCCCTCAAGCAAGTCAAGGCTACCGAATTCAACCACCTCGCCAAGAAGCATGTCGGCAAATTCCCGCATATCAGCAAGACACCGATACCCTCCTCGCGGCTCATAGCGGCCACCAGCGACAGGACACCCCATAGTCACAAAGTTTGACCAGCAAACCAACGAATTGATAAACTGCATCGCCCAAACATGACGAAGGGGAAGCCCATCAGAACCAACTACCCCAGAACGGATTATCTCCGGGTAGGGCAGCACACCTGGAAAAAGTGGACATGAAGTGCTGGACAGTTCCAGCAGATGACCTTGGACGCCTTCAAACCACGATGTATAACGAAGAAAACTCGAATCTGAATTTCGTCCCAGCAACAAAGGGCTGGGGCATACATGCAAAGGGGCACGAGGGTTCACTTCCGGGAGCTCGAGGCTCCTGGCGCTCCTCCTTCGTCGTCGTCCTCTACGCCTGCGCCCTTGGTCTCTCGAAGCTTCTTCTGTAGGCGAGCCACACTCTCTAAGTAGCCGGATACGATGCTCATCTCTTCGCGACTCCCCGCGAATTCTCGCCTCGCAAGAGGATCCACGAGTCCTGTTAGAAGCCATGCTGTCGACCACTCGCCTCCCTGGATCACACACTGCATTTTTGCTTTGAGGTTTTGCACGAGCTGGGCTGCTGCGGCATCCGCCTGGTTGGACCTGATCAGTTCGTAGGCCGCCACGTCCATAATGGCGCACCTGTAGATGCCCTTGAACTTGCCCCACTGCTGGCGACGGACAAAGTCGCGCAGTGTCCAAGCCTGCCCCTTCACGATGCCCATCTCCTCGATTACTTCCTTTTCGAAGAGCTCCACGATCTTGTGAGGACGCTCCTTGATCTGCCGGTGCATTCGATGAAGGGTGTTGACTGACTTCATCCCTTTCCCAGCCGAGCCCTCGTCGCTTGAGCTGTCGGAGTCTGAGCCACCAAGGAGTCCCAAATCGTCCTGAGAAGACATGGGTCGATCCTTCTTTTTCTTCTTCTTCTTGTCGTCGCGATCTCGATCCAGAAGCATGCTTAACATCATCACTGGCACCAGGTCCGAAGGACTCTGTCCCGAGGCTAGCCCCGCGGTCACAATCTTCTTTAGATCGAAATGCTCGCCCCTGTGATAGTCTTCCTTCTTCTTCCGACGCCCCTCGCCCAAGGAGCTCTGCCCGGGAGCCAGGTAACCTGACTTCGAGGCCCTCGGTGGCAGCTCTTCGTCGTCGTCCTCCGTCTCGTCGCCATCGTCGGGGACTTCCCCAAACAGGCTCTGGAGATTGGAAAGATCCGAAGCTAACCCGCGACGTCCCTTCTGAGGAACCCGCCGAGGGGCCCGCACATCCACGGGCTCGGTTTTGCTGCTTTGCAGGTCGGCGCTCACTTTCTTCCAGGCATCTTTGCATGCAGTGAGTGGGGGAAGCTCCGATGGTTTGGTGCCAGTCCAGTTGGCCGGAGCCTGAAGACTAACACTGTCCAAGCTGACCCTCACAAAACCAACTTCGCGTGAACCACTTTTGGCCTTCTGAGAATTGGCAATGTTCGGCACAGGCACTGTACCCAGTACGATGTCGCTCCCCTGATTTTCTATGATCCAGCCGCAAATGGCCAAAGTGCCACTGTCCGCCACACACAGACAGTAAACGAGGTCATCAAGGCCGGCCATTGTACACCCTACCCCTTTAGAATTTGAGCAGAGTACAGCCACGTGCCTGCCAGGTTCACTTCCACACAGCGAGTTGCATTAACCTGGCAACGTGTTTGCTGGAATGAGGGGGACAACCCTGAACCTGTGCCCCTATATGCGAGGTTGGAGCACAGGCCTCAGAGTCAAGAGCTTCACTGGAATATGATCTGCCACCACAATATGAGCTGTAGTCTAAACTCCTAGTATCCCCCTTAAGAACCCCTATACCCCATATACTCCCTTGTAAGGAGTGTAGACTAAAGCTCATATCCCACACTCTGAAATTACACATAGAAAGGCCAAGACCGGTCTGAAGCACAAGGCCAGGGCAAAGAAAGGTTCAACACTACAACAAGCTCAAAATGTAACACTGAACCCAGCTCTTGACTGAGAGCCAAACAACCATAAAATCGAATTCCTGAAGCCCTGGACGCTAAATAGTAGGTTCCCTGTTCTTTTCCATTATCCCTAAATAGCCCCTATAACCCTGTATACCCCTATATAACTCTTAGCCGCGACTAGCATCCTAAGCCTGGTCAAATTTCCACTAAACTTTGAAAGTTTACCTGTCAAAGGTGGATGATGCTGCAAAACACGAATGGCGGTAGAATAGAAGCTGGTCATAAGTTGTGCGCTGTCTACACCCTCCACCCCAAAGTATATCTATAGCATCCTGTCGCCCTCCATATACCCTATACGACCCCAGAAACTGACACTATGCAGTCGCCCTGAGGTAGGATTGGGTCCGCTTCTTCGTCATTCACTCACGAAACGGCGGTAGCTAACTCGCCGGACTGTAAGCCGGCCTTGGCGGGGAACATCTCTTACATATGTAGGATTACATAAGGCCATGTCGGGATCACATAAGGATTATCCCGTCAAAAAAGGTTATATAGCTATTAGATTATAGGAATTCTACCCTTCATGAAAACATGTTCTCACAATCCTATGAACATAGTTTTGCGCATCTTTTGGCATCCTTGAGGATTTTGGGCTGAAAAAAAGGTCAAGCAGCCCTCTTGAGCTAGCAACTCACGACCAGCCCACCTTTGAGGCAAGAGCAAGCTTGGGAGAAGGCCAGAAGTGAGCAGATCACTCATTCTTTGCAGAAAAGGTTGGAGGGGCACGCCCATGACATCTTTGTGAGCGATCCAAAAGGAGGCAAGCGACGAGGCACAGAAGGTCGCCTACCAAGAAAGGCATTCCAGGCAAGAGAACTTATACGACACACAGAAAGAGCTGCACTGGCGATCCCATGTAGTTTGCTGCCAGCCCAACCCATTCTGTGATCGGCCAAGGTCCGGCCAATTTTGACCAGTGGCAAAACAAGCGGAAGCATGAATCAATGCAAGGGTTTCTGCTAAATGCAGGGAAGGAGGAAGAGGAGCAGCCAACCAACACAACAGCACCAGTCTGAAGGCCGAGATTCACAGCAAAAGCACAACACCAGCTGTCGGTTTGCCTGTTACAGCACCATTTTGAAGCTAACTCCACGACCAGGAGATTCCTTTGAGCCAGCATCGTCGGCTGCTACAAATGTGAAAAAAAAAAACATTATCATCACCACCAGCACCATCACCATCCGCAATGGAACATGTGCCTGCAGCACTACCAGCAGCCTCACCAACACTGCTGCCACTGCTGCCGCAGCTGGCACCCCCACCGCCACCGCCTCCGCCACCGCAATCTCGCATTTGACCTGCCGAAAGCCCTGGCCGTGGCCTACCTACCCCTAAATGTCGGTGCCTGACTCTGGCCAGTGGATTCCTTTGCCTTTCCTATACGTAATGTGATGCTGAAATGCTTCGGGGATGCAATATTGGAACACGCAAGAAAACTCCACATAAGCTTAAAACTGCGCATTCCCGTATGCAAGGCCATCGGTTTTGCTGAGAGTCTTCCACTAGAGAAGCGAGGGCTAGGCTCAATTGCTACGCCGCTACGCCCTGAAATAGTTTTGAGGTGGCCATGGCTGCGATCATTTACGAAACAGCATTTTCACCCTTCGCAAACCACCGCGAGCCAAGAAAAGCTCTCTTAGGACCGGTCCGCATGCGTCGGCCCCCGCCAGCCTGCCAGGCGCTCCTGGAATTGCCAAGCGACAGAAAAAACAAGCTGAGCCATTGTATTAGTGCTGCTGACGGTATGGTTGATTATGCTGATTGCAGAGCAGGGGGAATCACGGTAAACTTAGAAGAACATACCAGGATGGAGACCATCAGCGCAGAACCGGAAATAAGAGCGGGTGACATTGCCATATCCATTTGCTGACCCACTGCCACGGGTTGATACTGGGATATAATGGAGCTTGGAGAAATGGCTCATGACGACAACAGAAGCTCTTCGAACGTCTTGCGCAAAACGATCGAGCTCAAGAAGGTACGAGGCAAGCCATGGACCCAGCCATCCGTTTGTCATGCATTCTGCTGTTCTCCAGCCACCTGAACCCTCGAATAGCAGAATTCCTTAAAGCTCCAAGGCTTGCGCTGCAGGACTCACCCACGCCAAAACCACAACATTCAACGCTGAGCTACACTGCCGCCGTTCACCGAAGGCTGCAGCCTCGATGGACTACCCGGCTGCTGTGGTTAAAGTTGGAATGCGCCGGGGCAGGTTGTTTCTCCTTCACTTCAGGATCTCAAGAATGCTGCCTTTGGAGACGGGTGGGGTTTCAAGGGCTCTCAGTTTGGTGATTCAGGATCAAATGCATTGCGGGGCTTTAAGGTTCTGCTACACCTGTTCTAGTTTAAAACTGTTTTGGAACGCAAGATTCATGCTTCAGTTGCTGCCACCGACAAGTACCCAACCACTATGCTGCTGGAATACAAGATTGCCTGCCAATCCCATGTACAAGGCATTGGGAATGGCTAGGGATGCTCCGCTGTTCTTTGGGCTTCTTTGGATGCTGCAAGCTTGGCAACAAAAGTTCAACAGTTGGCTGAGTTAGGCTCTTTCTCGCCCAATCCTGTAGCCCAGAGCATGGAAGGAACAAGCACACAGGTAGGAGCCAAAAGTCAGCCCCATACCAGACAGCAATATACAACCCCTCTTAACACATTCATGCGCAACCACGATGGTCTACTATGAAAACTCTGAAAGACATATTCCCAAAAAAGTACAGGTTCAACATAGTTCAACTAAGATGTCCGGCCCAAAACAGTACATGATACCAAAAACAAAATGATCAGTGGTCTAAACTCCTACTATCCCCCTTACTATCCCCCATCCTAGTTCCCTCTACAATCCCCTATGTAATCCCATTTGAGGAGCTTAGACTATAGCTCAAATGATCATCACCAAGCCTCGCCATAGACCTTACCACAGCATCCAAAATCCATAACAGAAGAAATGCTTGGTATTCCCAGCCCAGAGGAGGTTCACATCATGAGCAATAGGTAAGAATTCAAGTCCACCAAGGTTTTCTTGCAAGTGCCAGGAATCACCTTCACAGACACTGGGCTGATGAATCACCGGTTGGGATTGCAAAGGATGTGTAGTTGGACCTCTGAAATACTAAAGCCTGCCGAGACCCATGAAGAACTGGGCAATCGCCATCCTAGATGTCAAATCACTTGCCCAAATTCCATCACTGAGCGCACGAACCCCCTCAACTGAAACCTCTGACAAGCTGCGTGTGAAGATCTGGTGATTCCAACGCAGACTCCTTCTCGGCAGCTACTCTGACAACAATTGTTGCACGAGTCAAGGTCAGGAGTCCAGAAACCTCATGCGGCTTCGCAAGTTGTCCAGTCTTGCGGCGAGTGCTGACCTTTCCCACTCAGACACCAGACTATGGTTTCAATTCGTAACCTCAGCCACGCGCTCCCACACCCTATTGCGAAGCTTAAACCCCAGACAGTCAAGAAGCATGCGCAAAGACCTTAGACATCCCAAATTCCCGAATGAATTTACTGTAGGCCCCAGCAAGCGCATCTAAGGTATTGATCTGATACTTGTCCCAGATCCATCGTAAGACACAAAGAGCTGAATCGAGCAGCATCAAGAGACATATTGAGGAATTGCTGACAAAGCTTCCAACACATATAGAGCTCAACTCATTAGCAAACAAAGATGTACGGCAAGAATGGGAAGATTCCCAAAATTGGGGTGTACATTTTGGGGGCTCTCTGTTATAAGGACCATAGTATCCTGGGGTCTATAATGGGGTTTCCCTAGTTTGGGAAACTACCTATTGTTGAAAGGCCATCATTTCAGTCGTGGAGAACCCGGTGACTGTAGTGAGCATAAATCCAACCTCTGCATTGGGAATGCGGAGTCCGGTCCTTTGGTCCTTGTGGACTCTTCCGATCATGGAGGCCTGGCGATGACAATCTTGTCGAAAGTAAACACGGTGAAGTTTACAACAGGGAAAAGCGTACTGAAGCTTGGGTTCTATCCATATCGATTCACTCCAAGGCAGTTAGGCAGGCAAATCCAGGCCAAGATCACAATTCTCTCTTTGCTGCATGCGCGTTTCATCCAGCAGCCAGCTGTAGACTAGAAAGGCCTGTTGGCTACTAGGATGATGAGATGCCTTCGATTTAAAGCAAAACCTACCCAAAGACACATGAGCACAATACTAGTGGTTACTGGCGTACTGCTTAGTTCGAAGACCACGAAAACTTGCAGTTTTGAGCAAGGAGGACGAGGAGGATGGCCTCCGAGGAAATAGAATAGAGATTTGGATCCTCCATGAGCAATGCAGCAGCTTACACAATGGCTTCGCTTGAAGCTCGTTGCTGGCGAACCTGTGTCATTTCCCAAGTACTGGTAGGGATGTGACTTCTTGGCTCTCTACTAGAGCTGGGCAATATTGGGATCATGGAAAAGAAAATGGAAACTTCTATAGTATTTTGGGGTAATATTGGGATAATGGAAAAGAAATGGAAACTACTATAGTATCATAGGGCATATATCGGGGTTATATTGGAATAATGGAAAAGAAAAATGGAAAGTACTGTTTACGTGAAGTTGGAGGT